GACCTGACCCTGGCTGTACAATTTCTTGTATTGCTGGGACTGAGCATGGTCCTTCCCCTGGGAGGCCCTCCAAACCTGTGTGAGGAATGACTGACTCCTCTCTTCTTGGGAGAGGACTTGGCCATGCACTAAGGGCCAGGACATTGCTGTCTCCATGAAACCTTCACCAATTCCAGTTTATGTTGTTGCTTAAGGCTGAAATTTGGCTGTTACTTATAGGCAGAATTCTTAAAATGCAATGAGGTTCAGAAGGTCTTTGGGCCCACAGAAAATGTATGGAAAGATTTATGTGTAGGTTACATTTTCAGGTGAGAGCATTTATAGCTTTCAGCAGAGTCAAAAGTACACGTGACCTTGAGGAGGTTAAGGACCTCCAATGCAAGACAACGTTTAACATATGTCTTTTGGATAGTACATGCTCACTAAGTATGTTTGTAGCTTACTGACTGTATTTCCCAGTCAGAGATAACTGAGTTAGTGGTGTCATCTGGCCTGGGATTGCAATCCTTTTAAACCTCAATTTTTTCACCTGTGAAATGGGAATAATATCTCTAACAAAATATTGTTAGAATTAAATGAGGCAAAGTATACTTGGCCCATAGCAAGTACTCAGTTGATGTAGTTGTTGCTTCATTAGAATCACTTTAATTGTACTTCAGAGACCACCATTACTTGTTAAGACAGAGTTTCATTGTAGCAGCTTTGATTTTACAAATGAGATAAAATGTATAAAAACTTAAAAAAAAACATTAACCATTTAAATGACCACCATCATTGAATGGTTTTGGACTGCAATAGGGGCAGACAAAAAGGGAAAATACAGGCATGGATTTACTGTCTTGTCCAGGATCAGAGAGGAAGCCAACCCGGTTGAAGGGAATCCAGTTTTCTTCATTCTTCCCCCCCTTCCCTCACAACCTCACCCCAACACTGTGCACAGACACAATGTACTGTCAGGAATATCTCCTGGGAGTCAGTGGGAATCATCCTGAGTTTTTTAAACTACACTTCTGAATTCAGTCTCTCTCTAACTCCCCTAATTTAATTTTTGAAGAGAGTGTCATCAAGGGAAAAATACCAACAAGGGAGTAAGTAGCAGTGAGTTGAAGTGCCTACATTTTTCTTTTCCTTTTTTTTTTTTATTTAGCATGTACTTCCTTTTATTTTAAAGCAGAACTGGAGATCATGTGGTACAAAGATATAATTGGGCTTGAAATTGTGTACTGCAATGGGATAGGAAGCACGTCTATTCCAAGTCCCTTATATTCTAACATAGAAAATGAAAAGCAGAGGAAGGAGGTGTGCCTTGGTTCAGACCACCCGATAGCCCTCCCCCTGCTCCACCACCACCCACAGCTGCTGGTGGGGCTGGGATAGAGACTCACAGCGTTGATGACAGAGTAGCTACTCCACAACCAACTAATTAATAGAAATTAAATAGATTTAGCCCACGTTCCAGCTGTTAGCCCTTTGCCTCCCTCTCAGGGGCTCATCTTTTGCAAATTATTTTTTCTTGCAGGACTTTACAGTCACTTGATTGAGATAACATTTTGCCATCAAGCTAATGGTTGGCTGAGAACATTCCCAAAATCGTTTTCCTATGGGCTGTTAGTTGGTTTTCTTTGTGGGCAGATAGTTGATGCTTGAATGGATTTGGAAATGCTGCACTGAACAAATGTAAGTAAGTATTTCCTGCAAATCTTCTCAGTGCCTTTACTGACGTGCGCTACCTGTCTCCAGGAGCAGAGGATGTACAGCTATCATATTTCAGCACTTACTTGACTATGGAACGTTCTTGATCTGTCCCCAATTTCAGCACTTGACAATCAGTGAGGCTGATGTTATAACCCTACCAGGGATATTTACATTTTAATGAGGGATTCTTACAGACAAAATTATCTGTTGAGCTTCTTATTTCTCTGTTTTAACATGGAACCCAGAACCATGCACTGTTCTGAGTCTTAGGACAAAGGGATTCTTATAGAAGAAACTATGTGTTGAGCTTCTTATTTCTCTGTCTTAACATGGAACCCAGAACCATGCACTGTTCCTGAGTCTTAGGACAAATGTCCATCTATGTTTCTTGAATGAATAAGCAAAAAAGATTCAAGTTCCATGGGATTTTTCCTGGCTGGAAAAATTGAGACCTCAGAAGCAACCACTTTAAAAACCTTCTTACTCTTCATTTATTGATCGTCTATTCTACAGTTCAGGAGTAAGATTTATTAGAAAAATTGATAGAGAAAATTATTAGGAAAAATATTGCATAACTTTTCCCCTCCCTTGCTCAGGAAAGGCAGGCTAATATTCATTAGCCTTTGTGAAGCAGAATCAGGGCAAGAGGTATGGAATGGCAGAGGCAAACATGAGAAAGTCACATAAAAATGGTTGAGATTCAGAGAAGCCCAGAAAGGGAAAGAAAAAGGTGTTAGGGAGATGAGAACCAGAAAAGGGTGGTGGTTGAAGTTCTGGACATGAAAGTGGCAGAGGGACAAATATTTGGGGTCTGGAAGGAAAGCAGCTGCCTTTAGATGGAGAATGAGGGTGGCAGAGATGGAAGGATTTTAACTATTTTCCGTGTAACACATATTCACACCTGCTCCCATCCATTTTGTTTTGAAAGTTTCACAAAGGACAAAGAAAATCTGGAAATATTTTCACAGATATTTTAATTTGCCTTCCCTGCAGAAACTGGACAATGAGCGTCCTACTAATATTTGGGTTACTCACCAAAAGGGCATCTTTGCTTGTGAAACAACTGTGTACAGACCTCAGGAGCCTCTCTCACCTTACGGCTTCCCAATGCTGCACAAAAACAGAAGAATGTGGCTGCCTTCATTAAAGTTGAATCTTAGTTTGCTTTTCAATGTACATAGAAAACTGTGACAAGGATGTGCCGTAAAAATAGGTATATGTGACAATATTAACAACCCTATTAATTTCCTAGCCACTGTAAGAAGACTTCTCCACTGGGGACAGCTTTCTTTTAGCACAAAATATCTAGCATAGCAGTATATTAGAGCTCACAGAGGGATTGTATAAGATTCTGTATAACCTTAGGTCAATAAATAATTTTGTTGGCTTCTACTGAGCTTCTCATGACAGCGTTATCCTTGATTCAGAGACCATCATGTTTACCCAGGCAAATATGGATGAGTTCCTGAAATACTGAGATGGCAGCAATGCTTTTTTTTATACAAAGTGGGATCTGGGCGGAGGTCTTCCTGCTTCTGGTTTGGGTTACCAGAAGTAACCCGGGAAACCTGCTGCATACAACTTTCACCTACCTTAGAAAATACATGTGGATTTGGTCTTCTTCTGTGGTACATTGTTTAATAAAACTTTATTAAGGGTTAATAGGCTAAGTAGGAAGGAGGGGAATATGATGGGAAGAACACGGCACTGAGACATTCAGTTCACCTAACCTTTGTTGAGCAACTCCTATGTACCAAGAGATGGAAAAATAAAAGCAAGTAAGGTGAATGCCTTAGAGAGAGGAAAAAGAAAGAGAAGGAATGGAAGAGAGAGACTGAGATTTGATGGGAAAGATGAGGTAGAAAGAGGAAGGTCAGGCAGAGAAAGGCACCCAGACTCACAGCAAAGGATGGGTGTGTGGGAAAGGCAGGGAGCTGACAGAGGCAGAGGAAGAAAATGGTAAGCGAAAGAGACAAGAAGAGATGACCCAAGCAAGATCAAGGCAGAGAATGTTGGGTCTAGGGTTTGGAGTTTTCCATCATCTAGAGAAGTTGACAAAAAGGACATGTTCTTTATGTCCCTATTTTTTAACTTGACGTATCATTGCATTATACCATTATTTAAGTTTCATATGTGTGTCGTTAAGACTCAGCCTGGGTAAATGGTACTTTCAGCTATGAAAAAATATGTCTATCTTTACCTTTTGTTAATCTGTAGGAATAACAAGTGTGAGAAAACTGTGCTTGTAAAATTACAAAGTGGGTAAACAGATTTAGAAGATTTATATCTTGAGTCAGTAAGCCAATCTAAATGGTGATCACAGGTTTTGCTTTGGGGAACTCTTTTGGAGGGTAGTAAGTGGGGAAAAAGCAAAAAACTAGGTGCATAGCAAACATGTAATTAAAAAGGTCAGTGGCATTTTCTTTCTTTTTCATGCAATTTATAAGTGTTTTCCTTTCTGGGAAAGAAGTGTTTCTCCAGTCCAAGTTGAGGCAATTCATCATGTTCGGTAAAGCCATTGAGGCCACAAGTACTCATTACAATGTCTCCTTGAGAACAGGAAGGGTGAAAATGGTAGTTTAGAGCAGGTAAAATTGTCTGTTGTTTATATTTGGTGAATCATATTATTCAGTGGATTTATTTTCAGAAAAATGCAGAGCATCTTTTAACATGCGCTTGAGAGTATAGTGTATGTACATGATGTTTGTTGAACTACAGAATCAGCAAGAACTGGGTTCTAATCCCAAATATCTTGGTGTTATTTTGATGGGCATTATCCCTATGGATGGAATGCAGAGAGCTTACATGTAGACACCCCCACATGTAAGAGGTGGGTGCTGGGAAAGCGCTTCTGGTCATGCTGTTAGAAGCTCTATGTCTCTGGGGTGAGGACAAATTGGTGGTGGGGGGCAAAGTTCTCCTGGGCATGTCTTTCCTGGTGTTACCATACCCGGGGAGAGAGACAAGTATGTCTTCTGCCCAGCTGTGCTCAACTTTTAGCATTCAGCACTCAACACTCAGCAACAGTGAGGAAGCTGGTGGGATTTGACACTGGGTATGGGGGTGGGGGGTGTTTGTGTGAGCTAGGAATTGGAGGGAGGCCGCCAATTCATTTCACATATATTATTTCTCCAGGAAACACGGCATAATTGAGGACAATTTTCCACCATGAATTGCATCATTAGCTAACACAGGGAAAGTGAAAGGCTGTTAACTTTTCTTTTTCTTCTGCAAAGCTGATGAGCTGAAGAAAATAGAAATGAAAAGTTTAATGTAATTTTTTTCTGAGGATATATGTTGGAAATCAGAATCAAAACACTTTTACACGGTAATAGAAATCCCACATTTTAATACATTGCCATGCACATAAGGAATCAAGTAATGCTGAATACAAAATAGTCAAATATACAAAATGATAAAGCAGATTTTCAAGCTTGATAGAGATCATGCTCACTGATACGAGGGGGCAAAAATCTGTACAGTTTCATTTCTATCAATTTAAAAAGGATCGTGCCCCCAACTCTTTTTGATGACAACCCAAAACAGAAGGAGACATTGTAAGAGAATATAAAGGAGACCCAAAGGGAACTGGCAAGTTGATAGCTGCTTAAGATATGGAAATTGGTGGCTGAAAATTGTTGTGCACACTAATTCTTATGTTTAGAGAAAAAAAAGTTTCTAAACATCGTATGCCCGGGGAACCCTGGGAACTGAATGGACACCCAACAGAAAAGGCACTCTTATTTTACCATGTAACTTGCTGTGTCCTAAGTCTAATTCTGGGAGTTTTTCCTTGGGTGCATAGAGAAAAAAACCACAGTTGTGGGTAATGAATAAGGGAAATACTTAACTACTCCTGAGGGACTGAGAGATTTCAGAATGCTGGTTAACGAAAGAAGCTGTAAAAATGTCTGCCATCTGTGTAGGCCTGGGCGTAGGACATATGCCTCTTAGCCACGAGGGGTAGTGTTTGTGGAAAAAGTGAACCCTTTTTTATCAGGTTTGTTCCCCTCCTACCTTACTAAGAACACTGGTCCTCCCTCTGATTCACATTGTGTGATTTTTCTTCCTCTTTTTTCCCGAGAACAGACAGTAAGTAGCTCATCAGGGAAGTGTGATGTGGTTCCCTGCTTGCAGTGACCTTGGATTTATCAAGGTCACACTTCCTTGGTCTTCTCCTTCCTGGGATTGGCAGTGTTTGCCTGCACTAAGCCAAGCCCCAGGCTCTCTGCCTCAAGATGGGGTGGTCACCATGTTCCTGACATCTGGGGTGGAGAAGTAGAGATAAACTGGCCTGTTGTTTTTATTTTCTTATCAGTTTTCCTTTTCTAAGTCCTAGAATGGCGTCTCTGTAAAAACAGCTAGGAGATGGCATAAAGAGAAAGAGCTTATTGACTTTTCAAGTGTGTAGTCCAGCTCGCTTTCAGCACACAGATATTGCTAGTTAGGGAGAGCTCTACCCCTTAGCTCATGGTGACTTCCAAGTCTCCCTATCTGCTAAGGTGGAGAGGTCAAATCCCTAACAGATGAGCAGAGGGACCATTTCTGTTTGCCCTATATTCTTGAATTCAAAGCATCTTTCCCCCTTTGTCAGAACAGCACCAGTCTCCACTAAGTTCTAAGAATAATTCAAGTCCATAAAACACCACAGATCAATGCTTTCTTTTCTCAGGTACTTTTTACTGCTAATACGTAATTTTGTTACAATATTGATCCTTCTTAAAATTTTGTGTGCAGCTATTTAATTTAGTGCCTAATGATATTAAATAGGTGGATTAACTGGAACTACAGTGGGATGATGTAGTGTCACTGAGTTTGGGTGCAATTATTTCAAAACATTTGTGCTGGCTGCGCCTCTCAGCAGACTCGTTGCTTTGATGCTGGTCAGGACTGAGATGCCGAGCAAAGTCAAGAACCCACATTATTCAGTTCTCTGTGATGGGAGCTTCTGCCACTAGCCAACGTCTCTTGAGGATGGCTTGTAAGGACAGCTTTTCCCTAGTGGGGGAGGAGAGATATTGGTGGAGAGACTGTTCAGAGGCCCGGAGAGCTGTCAAATGATTAAATGTGAGTGGAAACCAACTACTCCCAACACTTACTGAAGAGATGATAGCTGATCGCTGCCCTTGGGCAGGAGGAGAATTGAAGAACAAAGAGGGTCAAAGGGTCCACGATTCAAATATGAAACCCTCCCCCCCATCTCCTGTCCCTCTCAGACACATTTTTTTTTTTGAGTTTCCACTAATAACCAAAGTCTTTTTAAGTGCAAGAAAAGCTAGTTTATGCATTTCCAGACCTCTGTAGCTCAGATGTGAGGAAACATATTCTGGATTTCTCTCAACTGGACTGCAGGGGAATGAGACAGAGGGGTCATCACACATTGTCAGACTCCGCAGGCAGCCTCTAATGCAAACATACTAAATGCAGTTGGTTGTGGTTTTAAAAAAATACTGGAGCTAGAATTGATGTAAGGAATCCTGTCCTCAAGAACCATGGTAGTGCTCAATCCAAATCATATTTTTTTTTTTTTGGTATTATGCTCGACTAGGGGGAGCAGCAGAGAGCTTTCAAAGGTGTTGCATAGCCTCGGTGGTGCTACTTTAGATGGAGGCCATCATCTAACCAGACGCTCAGGAATTTAATGACAAGAAAATTTTACTTCAAAGTTATGTCACAAAATCCATCCCCCCAAGGTGAGCGAAATAATGATCCAATAAGAATTTCATTGGAGAATTTTAAAAAAGCATTTGAACACATTTAATAGGACCTGGGGGTGGTGGGGATTATATACTCTCCCACAAAACAGATCCCCATGCTGCTGGCACAGGGGGCCCGGGTGGAATCCCACATTGGGTCACTGTGTGTGTGCTGATGTGGCAAAGCCATGCGAAAGCAACCCACTGATGCCCTTTGATCCACATTTACAAGGTTATAAACATTGCAGAAGGTAACCCACACAGCCTTCAGGGTTTGAATTGTTTTAGGTATTAATATCTCCAACATCAGATTAATTTTCTCCTTATCGTTCACAGCTGCTTGTATCATTTTGCACATTACTCAAAAAGGACTGGGTTTAAGAGCATTTCTAAGGCTCCTGGAAATGTTTGCCATTTGGAAAACAACAACAAAGCAAACAATTAAATGAAAAAGATAAAAAGGAATATTACAGAATCAGAAATTATGCCTAAATACTGGCGACCCAACATGTTGCCACCATGACTGCAATTCAATGCAAGTCAGGGCTTACTTGGGCATTTCTTAAATGGATGTTGTTGGTGCCTCTGTTTGATTCTGATGGGGATTGCGGAAGAGAGAGCAGAAGTCAAATGCTTGGGGTCTTCAAGATGTTTAAAATACTGCTGAGTGAAACTCCAGTTTTCTAGTCTCATTGCTATTTTGTGGAAGTCATTTTCCAGTCTTTCTCCTAGTGGGTAGGGGTCTAAAATTGACCCCATCCTTGATGGCTCCCACCCTTTCCATTTGAGGGTGAATCTCACTCTCAAATCTTCAGATCTTAGAAACAGTGCTTGCCCTGCCTTTCCCAATATATTCCTGGCAGGACCAAGACGATAGGCCAAAGAAAACCAGTCCTGACCCATCCCCCTGGCCATCTTCCCAAATGAAATTCTCAAGAGAAGGGTCTATTTTGTTCTTGCTATTAAGATGGGCTAGAATCTCCTGCACTTGGCCAACTCTCCCTCCAGTTCCCACAGCTTTCAAAAGTATATAGTGGAAAGGCAACCTTTTGACCTTGACCTGTGCAGTGATGCCGGGAATCCTGCATGTGATGAAGCTGGGTTGGGACTCCTGCATGTGATGAAGCTGGGTTCATACGACAGTTTCCCTGGCTACAGGACTCAACGCAGAGCTAAGGAGACAGAGGGTAGGACCTGCTCGCCTTTGACACAGGGTTTCCAGCTGCACCCTGCAGGGAAGCACCTCCGGTCTGTTCTTCATCGGCCACTTTGATCAGTGGCTCTGACCAGTTGCTCCCTGGAGGTGAGAATCCATGGCCCACAGCTGTGTGGGCAGCAAGATTTCACCAAGTCAAACTTACAAAGGAATTAGCAGTCAGTCCTGTGGCAAATGGCATGTGACTATGTTTTTCTCTTGGCGTTATTCACAGAATACTTGAGCTCTACTCACAGAACTGTTAAGAAAGAGATTAAAGGGAAGAAAAACATGAAACAAAGCAAGAATGAGGGGAAGAGAGAGGTGAATAAAAACAGCTTTTAAGGCATAAAGAAATGTATGCCATTTTCAAAGATTAGATTTTTAAGGAGTCTACGCCAGTTTTAAGTCTAGTTGTCAAGTAAGAAAATTACTCTAAAGAACAGAGAGGGAAACATCACAAAGAACGAAGCTGATAATGTGCTGACAAGAGGAGGTTTTGGTAAAGCTAAAGTGCTGAGGGGCCTTGAAAACTTTTCTTCCATGAGACTCATATTGTTCCCTTCTCAAATCAATTATGTGACATTTGCAGACAAAGAGAGCAATTGCAAGTAACAAGGGGCGTAACTCCATTGGAGGTTTTTCTCTTCAGTTTATGTTCTCTTGTCAGGTTGATATTCTCTCCCCCTGGAATACTGACAATGGCAGAATTCCCTCCCAACTCAGGACGATCAGCCTCTGTTTGGCAACTGAGAAGCGACTCTGGAGAGAAAGCCGGGGGGGATACCCGTATTCTGGAGGTAGAAGGAAAAGTGTGCGGTGAGGGGGCTCACTGAGCCCAAGCGGGAACTTGTAGGTCTGCTGTTACCCACAAAGAAAGAGGAAAGGGCTCTCTCGCCGGAGTTGTCTGCAGTTAATGGTGTCACTTGCTTTCTACCTAGGCAGAACCAGGGAGTTCTGCATATTTAGATTGAGTTTTGGAGCTAGAACACACTAACCCCCTGACACCCAGAGAGCGTGAGAATTATTCATTCTGTTCATTCCCCAGAGTGCCTTTGCTGCACAAATGTGGGTGTCAGCTTTTGAATAAAAGGTACAGCAGGTTGAAGGAGACGGAAAAGTGAGGCATCAACAGTTGACACCCTTTAGACATGACAATATTTATGACGCCCTCGCCATCTCCTGATTCCTGCCAAAGAAAACTCCCCACAGGCCTTTCTGGACTTCCCGGAGGTAACATTTCCCACCTGCATTTTGGGAAACTGGGGTGGGGGCGGTGCATGCTGCAAGGTGGAAGCCGTGGGCACAGCGGTGGCTGCGATCATGGCATCGTAGCAAAGCCTTGTAGGGTGCCAGTGAAGCCAGGTCTCCACCACGCTGGCTGAGCTTGTGATTGCTACGGTTTTTTGCCACCCTGTTTCCAAAACTATCCCCCAGTGGTTTCAAACTGAGGTCGACTGGGACACAGTTCTAGTTCATATGAAAACATGGGAGGCATGCTGGGAATTAAGGCATTTTTCGAGACACCAATCCTGTTTCTACTGGGCTCTTGAATTGCCTTGTCTCTACCTTTACCCAGCACCTTTAATGCATTTTCCAGCAAGAGACTCATTCCCTTGTTGAGAATCTGTTCTACAAAAGCCAAAAGAAGGGAGGATGAACTAGCATCATTTAATGAACATCTGCACCATAAAGCGGGCCCAGTTTTCAAGGGCATCTGCAGCAGTCTCAGAACGGCCCGGGCCAAGCCCATTTACTCGAGCCACACTATCTCTGCACCTGGCGGTCGTGCTTAGGGCTCATCAGGTCCAATTCTGTGTCCCCTGGATTATAGATCTGGAGCTTGAGAGAGACCAGTATAATGATGAACAGTTTTATCTGTGTAAAGGATGGGAATAGAGGTCACCAGAACAGCTCTCCAGAAAGCAAGTGAGAGCTGCTTTGGGAAGCTCTAAAGCAAAGCCTCGTGGGCAAGCTCTCCACGAGGGCTGCAAATGTGTTCTGACGCTGTACTTGCCCTCAGGTGAGGGAAGTGCCCGCTGCCTCAGCCACGGCTCAGGTTACTCTGCAGTGTGGATGCCTCTGCACTCAATTTTCCTTCTGGAAAGTCGGGTGGAGATAGTGGCGGGAGGAGGAGCTGTCTCTGCACAAGGGAGGGAGAGGCTGCCCTGTACCTTGCTGTTACCCTTGCACGATGCCCTACACATAGTACATGCCCTGTACAGTAGGTGCTCACCTGTGCTTGCTGAGTAAAGGAAGGAACAAGGAGGTGGGATTGGAATTGAAGCTGAGGTGGTGAGCAGTGCAGATCAGGATGTGATGGCTGGGGCCTGGTGGCAAGGGGTGAGCCTTTTGATTTTGGATTCTGCTGAGGACCAGATGGTGCCAGCACTGACCCGTGTAAGGACCAGATCATGGGGGTGATGGCACCTCTCCCAGTTCCCACTGGGAAGCCCCTTTGTTGGCCGACAGCCTAACTGGCTGCTGGTGAGTCAGTGACTGGGTGAGTCACCAGTCACATTTGGATCTCTGTTTCCCTTCCTGTGGAGTTTCCAAATCTCAGGCAGATGCATTTTCAGAAGACTGTACTTCCTGAGACCCCCTCAGGGAGGCAAGTTGTGGGGAGAGTAGACACTGAGGGTGTCAGGAGACCCTGAGAACTCCAATCTGAGTCAGGTGGGCAGGGTCCCAGAGTTGTTACGAGTTTTAAGGACAAGCTTCCAGGACCCGTCATCCTCCACCAAAGAACATACTCTGCTGAGTTTCTGATGCAGCCAACTTTATACTTCCAGGGGGGGAAAAGCTAACATGTTATGTAGGGTCAGTCAAAAAGGGCATTTATTTTTCTAATGCCTAATGACAAGTAGTAATTGGACTGACTGGTTTCCTGGGACTGTGCTTTGTTGTAAGACATGGTGAAAAATAATTAGTTGTGGGCATAATCCCAGAGAGGATTAAAGGGGACCAGAAGGTTCTCTACAGAGGAAGAAACCTACTGTGGGACTGAACCCTTTTCCTTTCATGGGCACACTGAGGGGTCACTTGCTGCTTTTTCTTTTCAGGGAATTGTGATTCAAGTTTGACCTAGAAAGTTTTCCAAAGCATCTGAGTTGGACCACATAGGGAAACTGTGTCTTAACCATCATCCCAAGATGGTCTTAGTTTACAGAAAGCCACTCCCTTTCGGCTTTGGAAAACTACAGAGTGAGAGAAGATGCTCATTGGCCAAACTGTCCTGGGTCTGAGTTTGTGTGTGTGTGTGGGGGGGGAGGGGGGTAGCTATGCCCAAAGACACAGACCTCAGAGCTGAGCTACTACTACTTCAACCCCCTAGTCCCACTTCTGCTCCCCTTTGGTGCGATAGGCAATCCATTTGCCCTATAAAGTGTCAAGAGGGTAAGTCTAACAGTATTGTGGCCATATTTACACCAATCTACCACTGATGACAGGGTATGCTAATAGGAGAGTTTGTTTTAGACAGTCTGCGCCAGAAATAGGACAAGATTATAAAAGAAAAAACACTTTCTCACATGTACCAAACGTGCTGATTCATTTCTGCGTAATGTTCTTCTATAAAGTGCTTAAGAGTTGGACAGGACACCTTCAGACATCATAACTAACATAACTGAGACATGTTTACATTCCTACCAGGACAGACTATGGTGAACACTTCCACTGAGACTGCAGAACTGCTGGGATTTTTTTCCCCTAACACATCATGCCATCTGCACACATAATAAAATAATCCAGTAGTTGCCATGCTAAACAGGACTTCTAGTGAAGGGTACAGACAGCTCCCCAAAGGGAGCTGGAGTTATGCACAGTGATGAAAACTGGAAGCAATTTTCCAGCTAATGGTCTACCAATGACCGCTTGGAACGAGTTGGCACTGTATATTATGCACCTCATTTAAAAATCCACAGCAAACTAAGGTTTTTCCAAAGCCCATCCTCTTGACAGAAAAGGGGTGTTTTTTTTTAGTAATCTGGTTAATCTGTCAGTGCTCCAAGGATATCTCTCAGCAGTGCCACGAGTGAGTCTTCTGTGAGGGTCAGGCCATATTCTTATCGACTGGCAGGACAGCAGCTTGGAAGGCTAACCACATTCATGGAGACCCCTCAGTTGAGGCTGCAAGAGGAAAAAGAAGAAAATCTGGTAAGGTTTTCCTTTATGTTCCCAATCCCGGTATGCAGCAATTACCCTAGTCAAAGTAACCCTAACAGCCATGGAGAGCTGTGGCAGAGGTGCTGGTGACTCACCTCAGGGCAACCTGATGGAGGCTTATGTCCTTGGAATGTCCTTCCTTCCACCGTTGGGTGGTGCATGGAAGACATCCGGTTGAGGGGGAGGCAAAGCTGCCTGGAAGCCAGGGCAGAACCAGATCCTGAAACTGGCTCTCAGCCACGTAGGGCTGTGGCTTGGGAAACTATTTCATATATTGTGGGGTTTCATGCATTTACTTGATCTGGAGCAAGGCAGATTGGGACTAGTGTGACAGCATTTTGGGCAGAGGGAGAATGCCTTATGCAGAAGGTGGAATTCATTCATCAGTTTTCCAGAATATTGGAAGCAGTATAATTGGAACTCCTGAGTTTTTTCATTGAAAAAGCCGACTTGGCTGAGTAGATTTAGGAACTAGTAAAAACTAGATAAAGTCATTCAAGTCTGACCACATTGAAGATTTCAATTATAACACTGGTTTTGGTCTTGGGAAGGCTAGTTCCCAATTCTTTAATTTTCATTTTTCCTGGGGTATGCTATATACATGGGTCCTCAATTAATATAGGGGTGCAAGTAAATATTTTGCTCATTAGAATATCTATACTTGTTTTGCAATAAACTATTAAGCAAGGGGAGACGTGAACAACCACAGCTCTTCATGGAACTCTACCTAGTAAGTAAACTTTTAAAACTGGCTTCTTTTCAGGGCCCTCCCTGGGGTGCAGCAGGTTAAAGCACAGTACTGGGAGGCTGGAGCCACTTCATCATGAGTTCGATCCCCGCCTGCCCTGGAGGTGATCCACATGGCATGGCAGACTTCTCCTGACCCGCCCACTGCTCCCTTCAGCAGTGTACTTCGTCGATCTGCCTGTTCTGCTCCCCACTCTGTCTCTGGCGAATCCTCTCACCACCCCTGTACCTCTGGCCTGCACCCAGTTCTGTATGATTAAATAAATAAATCTTTAAAAAAAAAACAAAAACAAAAATCTGGCTTTTCAAAACATGACAGAATACACAATTTATAAGAAAATGTTTGATTAAAATCTCTTACTTTTGAGATAATGCAAAAACAAAAGCAAGGCTTATTTAAGCATATTATATATAAAATAATGTCACACACTACTGATAAGGTTGCAATGAAAGTAGAATACTAATATATTGCTGATGGTATGGTGAAATGGGAAAATAATGTCAATTATTTAAAAACTATTAAAAATTCACACTACTCGATTCAATGATCCCTTTCTAGGAGTGGATCCTGAGGAAATAATAATAATAAAAAATAAAAGCAGCTATAAGCACAGATATATAAGCTAGAACTTATTTATCATAGTGGGGAAAAAAAAAACAGAAAAGTGGAAAACAACCAGTTTCCTATTGTTGGAAATTTAGGTTAAGTAAATTATGGTGCATCAACAAGATGGATGATTAGAGGGTCATTAAAGTAATCATGAAGATGATTAGATAGTAACATGGTAAACACTTACATATACGACAGTATTAAGCTTACATCTATGCATAGAAAAGCAGTACATGTGAAATGGTGAAGATGCTAGCATTTTCGTCACTGTTATAATATTTTACAAAACAATGCAAAAATTAGGCTCACAAGGATGCAGGTTTGATACGTGCACTATGTACATTTTCCAGGGTTGTTTTCATTCACTGAAACTACCTTGAAAACAAAGTCCTCACAATTTCAGGACAAGATAGCATTCTGGTATGGTTGGAGGGAAGACAGAAACCCATAGGATGAGACATTGTCCCACCAGGTCACCCTGTAGAGCAGCCACAGCCCCCAGAAGACCGTGCGCACTTCTAGGACCTAACACAGGGCACTGTCCTTGAGACTTTGCTGAAATCGGCTCTTGAAGCATGTGACCTTGGAAAAGTACTATGAAGATAACATACATAATAAAATTTAGAAAGGGAATAATGATGATAAAATAAGTGAACTCTAATGAATTCTATCCATTGGACGTCTAGTCAGAAGTTGATAACATGGTATATATCACAGTTGCTGCTTCTCCAAACAACCACAGGAAAGAGGATGAGTGTAATATTAGCATATAATAACGCATAACCACAGACAGAAGCTGAGCCTGTTACACCTTAAAGCTCATCTACTTGTGGCCCCCCAGTATGCTCCTTAGGGTAGGCAGAATGATCCCCATTTCATCAATAAGGAAATTGGGGCCCAGTGCTAGTAGCATTTGCCCAAGGTCACACAGCTGGTGAGAATCAAATTCGTCCTCAGCCTTAGGTATGTCTCACTCCTTTGGGAAGTATGACACACATGATGTGTCAACACATTGGGACAAATCCATAAAGCAGACATATTGAGAGCTTTTCCCATTCTATCTTCCAAGGAGGATTCTCTGTTTATCCTGAAGTTCAGTCAGCACAGTGGGGAGCCCCAATGGGCAAAGATGACAAGTGGAGGCTAAATTAGAAAGACAGTGATATCCAAAAGAGGACGGCTCCTGCAGATAGGACCACACCTAGAAGCAGAGGCCACCGTAACAAACTGGGAGGTTTAGGGCAATAGTTGCCAGATGAATGGGCTCTTTGGAAGTGGGGTGACTAAAGAGAAGAATGTGCTGTGACCTCAGTCCCTTTGACCTTCTTCCTGGGGAATCTCTCAAGTATTCATTGCTTTTCCATACCTTGGTTGTGTTTCTTTTGAATATGTCTCCATGTTGACTTGGGATTTCCATGGGAACAAGAGGCCCTACTGACTTAGGTTGTATGTGCAAGGTATGAGCCCGGAGTAATGCTTAGACCATGCTCCTTGTATCACAGATGTACAGTGACAGGCTATATGGTCACCACTTTGCTAGAGACCTTTGTTACCTGCAGTGGGAATCTCAGGTATGAAAAAACAACATGTGGTCAAAAACCAATGCATGTGGTTTGTATTAGATGACTCTGCTTCTTTTAATGGAGGAAACTGTGTTCTTTGAGATGGTACATTTTGGAGGCTGTATCTCTAGGTGGGGTTCAGTCATTCCAGACTCTTCCTACCCCCTCATATACACTAGCTTTTTTCCTGCCTCAGATGTGAATGCGTTGATACTAGGGAATACCTAATCCTTCATTTTTCCAGTCTACCTCACATGTCATATGCTTTGTAAGGTACTTGCCCCTGAGATACAGCTGATAAGCCAACATGGAACTTTAAACTTTTACCACCAAACCTCATGAACCCTTTATCTATCTCTGCTGAAGTTTTTGAGGGTGGTTCCATGTCCTCTTGCTGTGTGTCCTTCTAGTACAACGTGAACTAATGGGCCCATAGAAAGTGTTTAGTGCATAGTTCTGAACTTACTGAAAAAAGGAATGATGCTAGAGAAGAAGCATTTCTCCTGCCTCCACTTCTTAACACCTAATTTTATACAAGATTCAGTCCTATAGCTCCAGTCTGCATATCCAGAGGGGGTCTGTTCCAGTTTCTTTCAGAAGAAAGAAATATATGTCAAGAGACTTTATATCTATGTCAAGGATCTTGTGTCTGATGCTGACAGTGTATGGATTTACAGCTAATGAACAATAAGGGCTCTTTCTCAAAACTCTGATGGGCCCATGTGATTAGTTCAGGCATTTGGGCGTCAGTTACCTCCAAGCCCCAGTAGCTTCTGAGTCTGGTAAGAGCAGAGACACTTCAGAACCCAGTGATTAAGATCCTGGGCTCTGAGTAGGTGAATCTGGCTGACATCCCAGGTTCACCACTTACCAGCTTTATGATGTTGCAAACATGAATTTCTCCAAACCTTAATTCTTTCACCTTTAAATGGTGATCAACCACCCTACCTCACTGGGTACTTGATCACCTTTGTGTGGTGTTTGGCAAATAGTAAATATCTGCTAAGTGATGACTACTACTTATCATTACTGTCATAAATCCCCCAGATTTCCTAGAGAAACTAGACACAAAAGTCAATGTTCTAATGCCAAAGTTAGGTCAGAAAAAAGAAACTAATCACCCTGAGGGAGTCAGATAATATGCTTGGCACTGCTAATGCCACCATCAACACACTTTGGCGTGCCCTCTCCTCCAGATTAATGTAGGCAAAAACAGGCAGCTCCAAGATAAGGAGAGTTCACACCAGAAACTTCCTGGGAAGGAAGGTGCTGGTCTGAGAGGCATTGCAGATGGTTCAAGAACACAGCTGGCACCACATGTGTCTGAATCCACCTTTTCTCATTCCAGTAGCGAGGGGCCGGGGGATTCATGTGTTTGGGGAAGAAGAAAAGCTACTCTGTGTAGGTAGCTTCTTGTCTCATGGGTTAAAGGGGGAAAGGTATACTTCATCTCTTCTAAGGAATGTTTAATGTCTTCCATTCAAAAAGAAGGACCATATCTTCTCTTTGAAAGGTTTTCATGTGACTTGAGTTTGAGGACTTTAGGGTATCCCTGAACTGCACCTCTACAGGGACAATTCAGACCAAGGGTGAGGTGCACATTCCAAAGGTGTGAGATGCATGGTGGCCCTGTGTAGCAACCATAGATAAGTAGATTCGGTTTATTGAGCAACTACTACGGCCCAACTAAGGTGTTATAGGTAGTCACTCACTAAGTCCTCACTCCCATAGTTGAGACCTCAATTGTATTGTCCACCTAACACACCTGGAAAACATCAGCTTCATTACCTTGTCATTGTCACCTGGCAGGAATGCACAGTAAGATGAGGACCCAGATCTGTTCTCATTACCCTGCTGCCTCAATTAAAAAAGAAACGTGTTAGGAAAGCAGATTCCTTAACAACAGGAATTCAGGAGAAAGGCAAGAAGGCTCATTAGATGTGAATCCTGTATCTAAACAGACATGACTAAGATGTTTGAAGTACAGAACATTTGGTACAATTCTATTTAACAATTTAAAATCTTTCCTACGTGTAGAGCAGTGG